TTTTTTTATGTATTTATTTTATTTTATTTATTTTATTGTCATCTACTTTGTCTGCGAAAAAATCCGATCCAATTGTCTTTTTATTGTAAAAAATTTTTTTTTTTTCTTTTTGTTGCTCAGTTCATTACCACTGATGAAGATCCAATCCAGGGATCGAAACGTATGGTTATATTAAATATATTGATTTAAACACACTTCCATCCAGTGTACTTCTCGTATTGGCCTTAACCTTGTTTACTTGACCTTATCACGAGAATTTTCTTACTTATTTGTTTTTGTTTTCATATTATATATGTACATACTGCTCGAGAAAAAATGGATTAGATCTAACTTAAATTTAACGAGATAAAAAGATGGAAAAATAGATCTAATTAGATCAAAATTAAATCTAAATAGATATAAAGTATAGATCTAAATAAATATAAGTAAATCTATGGAAACTTATACTTTTATTTATTATTAGATCTACTCTTGATCTACTCAGATCTATTATATTAGATCACCTCAGATCTGTTCAGATCTGCTCAAATCTAACTAAATCTGAATAGTTTTAATTATAGTAGATCTGAGTAGATCTAAAGTAGATTTAATAATATATAAAGGTGTAAATTTAATAGATCTGCTTATATTTATTTAGATCTACTTTATATCTATTTAGATTTAATTTGGATCTAATTAGATCTATTTTTCCATTTTTTTTTATCTCGTTAAATTTAAGTTAGATCTAATCCATTTTTTCCCGGATGAAAAAAAAAATTCGGATAAAGCAACTGAATATATTTATAGTTCGCAGTCAATTATTATCTGAAGTTGTTTTTCACTTCAAGCTTATGTATAAAAGGATAACGCTTCGTTTATTAGATGCAAGCTTAGATGCGTTGAGATAACAAAATATTTCTTTAAAGTTACTGAAGTTTTGACCGCTGCAAATATAGTCAACCTAAAAAGATTTTTTTTATGCAATCCTTTTTATTTTTTTCTCAGTGTATATCTTCAATTACATTAAAAAAAGAAACGTGTAATTTGTAACGTACAATTTCCTTTGAAATGTATTACAGGCGAACTATTTCGCGATATGTATTTGAAATATAAGGACCATCGTGCTTTCGGAATATACACATTTTTCAAACCGAATCTTGTGATTGCCGATCTCGATCTTGTCCGAATAGTACTGACTAAAGAATTCGGTAGTTTCCACGATCGCGACAAGCATTCTAACGAGAAAACGGATCCGCTATCCGCCCACTTGTTTTTCTTGACCGGAAAAAAATGGAGAAATTTGCGCGTTAAGTTGACTCCTACTTTTACTTCGGGAAAATTGAAGCAGATGTTCGCAGTTCTGAAAGAATGCGGTGAAGAATTCGTGAAATCTTTGGAAAAACTGGCCGAGACGGAAAGATGCATTGACATAAAAGAAATGTTCGCAAGGTATGGCACTAGTTTTCAAAAGAAAGAAACAAAATTCATGACAAACTTGAAACTACAAAATAAAATTAACTACAAAATAAAAAAAATATATGCATTAACTTTAAGAATGTTACGTACTACAACAAATGTTATACACTACAAATTTTTACACGATAGGTATTCAACAGACGTAATTATGTCAGTTGCATTTGGAATCAAAACTAACTGCATAGATCAACCGGATAACGAAGTTCGATACTGGGGGAAAAAAGTCTTTAAAATAAGTGCCCTTAGGCATTCTATTTTTATGTTTGCGCCACAAATTGCCAGACTATTTTCTATCTCTATTTTTGATAAGGGTGTCTCGAATTTTTTTATAAATATGTTTCGGGATAATGTGGAATACAGAAAGACTCACAATGTCGTTAGGCACGATTTTATGAATCTACTTATACAACTCATGGAGAACGGCTATGTTGAGCCTGACGAAGAGAAAGATGTCACCAAAGAAAATGATGTGCATCGTAAATATAATTTACTGTTCAATATTAAATATGCACTCTTACGATGCGACTACTTTCTAGATTGATGAGGTTTTTGTTTTATTGACAGCAAGTACGAGTAAACTTTCTATGATAGAAGCGACTGCGCAAGCTTTCGTCTTCTTCTTAGCTGGTTTCGAAACTTCCTCGACCACGGCGACGTTCTGTTTGTACGAAATAGCGCTAAATCAGGACGTACAGAATAAGCTTCGTCAAGAAATTGACGAAGTGCTAAAAAAACACGGCGAAGTGACTTACAATGCTGTAAACGATATGACCTATCTGCATAAAGTAGTATCTGGTATTGTTGTTTTTTTTTTTATAAATTATAAGTTCGTTAAATAAATGTGTTGGCGAGTACAGTTTTTTTTTTATTGTTTTACGTGTTATGCAGAAACTCTGAGAAAATATCCACCTGCGCCAGTACTGAGTCGCATTTGTACCAAAGCTATAAATCTTCCAACAACGAACATTCACATACCAGAAGGAACGTCAATTAGTATACCGGTGCTCGGCATACAGCGAGATCCGGCGATCTATCCGGATCCGGATAAATTTGATCCCGAACGATTTAACGAGGAGCAAATAGCGGCTAGACATCCATACGCTTTCTTGCCATTTGGGGAAGGACCCCGTGCTTGTATCGGTAAGAATAATCAAAGAATATCTAAAAGTTGTTAATTATTCGCAGCTTTTGAGACTGTAAAGTTATTTATATATATACGATTTAAAATTCAGATTCAGGTAATCTTCGTATAACGCGGTATTTTTGAACAACGCGGTTTCGATTGAATAACGCGGTTTACAAACTGTAGTAAAATGGAATCTAATTTTTGTTTTTTCAATATGCGCGCTTACGTGAGCCTCGTATACCTCGATTTATATAACGCGGCTTTTCTGCGAAACGGAATATTTGCGCTGTGCGAAAGTTAGTACTTGTATAAAATATTTTAGAAATCACGATACTTGGTAATAAATTTTCAGGTTCACGGTTTGGCTATATGCAGACAAAAGTTGGAATCTTAAATATCTTATCGAATTTCAAAGTTAAACTTCATCCGCGAACTTCGGTGCCACTGATCTTTGGCAAAACCACTACTGTACCTACTGCAAAAGGCGGTGTACATCTTATAATTGAACCACGATGAAGCAATTGTGCTCGTTTAAATGGAGCAGAGCAACTTTGCAACTAATATTAACAATGTCGCTATCGCAGTGCAATACAAAAATAGGAAATATTATGTAGTAATAATTATGTGGTAAGTATGTAGTAAATGGTAGTTAGAAAATATTATGCAGTGACGCAGTGACGAGATCGAGATTGTAAATAGATATTTGCAGAATCATCTTACAGGTGATATTTTTTATTGTGTTTGTTGGCGTGACGATAATAACTTGTTTTCAACTTATGTTGCGCCAGACTGAATCCAAACCTATCAAGCTGAACAGTTTGAAACAAATACTTCAAACTTCTGTGATTGAAATTAAACTGCAAATTATACAACACGTGTAAGATGTATATTATTGGTAATTGTTTTCTTATATCTTGTAGCGTACTTAAATATAAATTGGCTTTACCAAAGTAAGTTTCACCATCTATGCGGCGGTTATTATTTTATTTAAATAATTATGTATATACTTATTATATATATTCTTCCTTGGTATAATGAAATTTGTTATAATAAAAAATATTGTTTGTATCGCACAAAAACAATTTTTCCTTGAAATAAGCGACCAGTTGTCACAGGAATAAAAAATTGTTGTGTAATGTTAATATTTGAATTTATAAACGAGTGAATAAAAAAATGATAATTACAAGAAGTGAACAGAAAACTGTGTTTGTATTCAATCTTTTGTTAAGCTATAATAAAATTGTTCCGTCTCAGTTTGAGTTATCGATAATGTTGGAGCCAACAGTTATTATGTAATTGCGATCGAAGTTGTCTTGAAATTTTTTTCCTACGACAATCGAAAAGAAACTTTTCGCGAATTACTCATATATCTCGAAAAAATCCGAATCGGCCATAGAATTGATTCTACATTTATACAAGCACACTTGTATTTGCGACGATATCAGCGCGCCAAGTAGAAGTTCAGCTGAGTAGGTGTAACGGAAATATGGAAGCGCGCGTGTGAAATTCGCAAGATCGCCATTTAAAAGAGAGATCGTTCGTTCTGATTAAAGGTCCACACACTTGCGCGGTGAAGTTTAAACGCGCGCGGTATGAGGTACACTTTAAATATTTTCGTGCTATCATTGTACAAACAACTTTATGTGCACTTCTATTTATATCTCTCTATCTCAGGAATAAAAATCAATAAACTTGGCCGGTTCGCACGACGACACAATACGTCGCCATATGTGTGCCATTATGTACATATATTGACGATACTTGTTGATCATCTGATACAAGCGTTACGAGATCTGTACCGGTAAGCAAATGCGATAGACGCCTTGTTGTTTTTGCTTGAGTAATAAAAGCTTTTTAATGTAATCAGTGCGATAAGTATCCTGTTTTGAGACAAAAAATAGATAACGTACGGTCACTCAAAGGTGACAGCTGTACATTTATCAGCACGCCAGTGTGCACGTGATAAAAAAATATCTGCTTGTCATTTAATGACTATGTATTGTAGAAAAATAATCTCATAAATGTGTTATACAACGTAGTTGTTTTTCCATATTTTAGTTCTTCGTGGATTGATTTTCAAAACGGCCTATTAGTTGGACTGACTGTGGATTTTGAAGTAACGTGGGTCTCACAGACCCACGTTACTTCAAAATCAAACGTTTCCGCGAAAAATCAATTTTTTCAATTTTTTTTTTTAATCGAAAGTTCGAACGATTCTGCGTCGATAAAAAAAACGAATTCTAAAAAAACTCTAGTAGTTTCGATACAAGCGTTTAAAAAAAAAAAAAACTAAAATTTGAACTAGAAATACCGGTTTGATTTTTGGGTGGGTTTGGGAGACCCATGTCAGTCCACGAAGGGTTAATACTTGTGCAAACTGCGTAGTCTTTTTTACTTTTTTTTGTTCAGATTTTTTTTAGTTTTAATACATCGACTGCATACACACACACGTACACAGAACAACGCAATTCTGTATGTAACACATTCCCTTTCACTTGCCATATTTGTGGAACTATCATTTTTACACATCGCACGTCTATGTCCAACGTCTATTAATTTTCAAGACTGTTGCCCTGGTTTGGCTAGCATTAAGATAAACTCATTACGCATGATAGTTTCTGGATTAAAAAAATTTATGCACAACGATGTCCAATTACCCGTACAAGTACGCAAAATGTCTAGGTAGGTGTCTAACACACAACTGGAAGAAGTTTTTGTAAAGTGTTATATAAATTTTACACACACACCATTACATGTTTTAAATCTTTCTACTTTAGGTAGAATCGAGCTTTTTCTCTCGTGCGGAGACATGAATAACGTGCGTGTAATGTTTCCAGATATGAACCAACTGTCGGAATCACCACAACAAACAAGAGACTCGCGCTCGTTAGAAGGCTTTTTTCCCCTTGTCACTATTACCGAGGGATGTGGCATCGTTCTTCTAATTTTGGTGGGTGTTTGGATTAGCTATTACAGAGGTGGCTACTCATGGAGATCCGATCCGAAGCTTGAATTTAATTGGCATCCTTTGTTAATGATCATCGGACTTGTTTACCTGTACTCCAACGGTATGATATATATTTATAATTTGATTTTTCTCCATTATTGTGCTTTCACACGCACAATTTATAAGTTTCTCTTTCACACATTTGCAGCCATGCTCCTCTACAGAACTCAAAGAAATGTTCGCAAAAAGCAGTTAAAACTGACCCACGCGGGACTGATGTTGTTCATTGTGCTGCTAGTGGTGATCGCCTTGGTAGCAGTCTTTGACAGCCACAATTTAGCTTCGCCCCCAATACCGAATATGTATACCTTACATAGCTGGGTGGGATTAACAACTGTGATATTATTTTGCTGTCAGGTACACATTTGTATAATTTTATAAAAAAAATTATCTAACATACGTATGTTTCTATATCTAGATAGAATATCTATAAACAGTTATCTGCTATTTAGATTCTTATTTTTTTGTTTCTATATTGTTTGCAGTGGGTCGCAGGATGTGTCTCGTTCCTTTTTCCCGGCTTACAAAGCCCGTTAAGAGCCGCCTATATGCCACTGCATGTATTCTTTGGCGTTGCAGCGTTTATTGGCGCGATTGCATCGTGCTTGTTGGGACTCAACGAGAAGGCAATTTTTACGTTGAAGTTAGTAGCGTTATTAATTTAAAAAAAAAAAAAAAAAAATAGAAATACAAGAAATATATTCTATTTTTCGTTTAATTATGATATTTTTTAGGGATAAATACGCAGATCTCGTGCCCGAGGGAATGCTAGTAAATTTCATAGGGGTGCTCCTGATAGTGTTCGGAGGCTTATCTGTGTATTTGATATCGCAAGAACGTTACCGACGTATACCAAGACCGGAGGATGACATGTTATTATCTCGCTAATTTGTTAAGTATTTATTACGCGGTTTGTTCGGAAAATGAAATGAAAACTCGGTATGACGCTTTCTCGAATTAAAAAATTCCAAGGTTTCAGAAACGTAAAAAAAGTTCGTAAATTCTGTGCACAATCAAATCGAGGCTGACAAAACATTACACTTGTTTTGACACAGAGTGAAAAATATTTCTTCGAGTTTGAACATTTCTATTAGAGTTTGTTTATATAGCGCGTGTGAGAAATTTTTTAATATATTTTCTTACAAAATTTTGCATTTTTTTTCTACTTTTTGCTTGACGACTAGAATCTCATCTCAAAATATTTATATCGATATTTGAACATTCTTTTTTCGATTTCTTGGTGCTTTACGCAGATACAATATACACACAATAATAATAATAATAATAATAATACATATCTTTTAATGTACATACATATCTTTTGTTGTGTTTAAACAACTTATTTTTTTGATATATAATAAAATCGAAAGTAATAATATATAAACGTGTGTATATTATATATTGCATATATATATATATATACATAAAATGTGTATCATATATATTTAATTATCCAATTTTTAAGTGTGAGACAATATATATATATATATAACATGTATGTAACATAAAATTGTATAATGACATACCAAATATACGTATTTTGTGGCAAGCAATTCCTAGTAAATTTCTGTCTTTATGCGAACATCCGGTTCCTATTCGAGCGTCACTCGGCGGTGCACGTTGGAGTCACACGCGTTCGCGAATCTTGTCGGTCGGTTATTATCCTGATTCTGTTCCGTGCTATGCCCGTAAATAGAAGATGTGATACGATCAACTCTGAGGAGATTGACACACCGTTACAACACACACATATATATATTGTTACATAAAGTTAATTTCCATCTGGAAACGAATACATTTTGCCGACACACGGATGTTTGCGCGCGACAGAGATGTGACGACGACGATACGAACATTTGCGAAAAATACGGAATACAAGAAACCCTCGTATATAAACGCGGTACTTGAACAACGCGGGGTTTCGATGTAACGCGGTTTACAACTCGTAGGACAATAGAGCCTAACACCCTGTTATTTCAATATGCGAGTTTCGTATAACGCGGCAATTTTGTGAAACGGAATATATCCGCGTTATACGAGGATTACCTGTAAGTCGAACGAAGTTTTCGCGCGCGTGAGGCCGAGCGCGGGAGCGCGAACGGTCGCGCCCAAACGATTTCGTCGGAGTTTTAGCTTCATCGCTGAGCTAATTAATATTCGCGTCAATGCAAATGCTCGCGAGACACGCGTAAACAGATAATCGCGCGCGCAAGACGACGAAATAATCGTCGCGAGAAAACGAGAAACAACATTCGTACGCGCTTTCTGCTTTGCGTCCGTCGCGTGGAAGACGTCCTCGACATCCGAAGAGAGTCGATATCCGAAGCGTGCGATACTTCGATTCTCGAAGCAGAGAAAAGCCTGAGAGCGGCCCAGTGATGAAAGATCGAAAACCGCCGTCGCGGACGACGATTCTTGCTTGTGTGCGTACCCCCCCACCACTTCGATACTCTCGTTGCAGCGGGCTCGATCTTTTATCACTGGAGCGGCCAGGTGCCAAGTCCTGCGGACATAGCGGCATCGACACGTGTCGCTCGTGTACATGGCTGCGTAGTTCCAAAATGCACCACCCGTGGACATGCGCTAATTTGCGGGGCGGAAAAGTAATTGCACATTCCCTTACGGGGGCCTGACCGCTCTCTCTTTCTCTGCTCGAAGTATCGAGTCGAAAGAAGCGCGCGAGGGTGTCGCCATCTGATATCGCGTTTCCGAATCAATTTATCCGTACGAAAAGAAAACAAAATTTTGACGCGTCGATTATTGCCGCACCCACACACACCGCGTGCACACGGCGGGCGGGGTACCCGTGGAATAATCGTCGCGCGGCTTATTCGCATATTCGGCAGATCGCGATGGGACACACCCACTCCGCGCTGCTTTAAATAACGACAATCGCTTTAAATTCTCTCAAAGGTTCTGCCTGCTGCTGCCTCCAACACACGGAACTCACGTATATACACACATACGTGCGTATATCACACGTAATCATTTTTTGCTCGTGGCACCGCGCGCTTTGTCTCCCCCCGAGACTATCAGCTGTTCTCTCGGAATTGGGTGACGCGCGCGAAACTTGTTTGACAACTTGTCAGCTGACGTCGTGAAGAAAAGAAAAAGAAAAAAAACAGCTTGGTCAAAAAAGCTCCGAAAGATAGTGCGACGCACACTCGGCAACGCCAGTAAGAACGATTTAAGTGCATTCAATGGTTAACCAAATAGCTGTGCCGCAGGCCAAGTATGAATTGCTGACCGACATACGACAGTGAGTATATTTGTAGGATCTCTTCCTCGTGTGCGTGTGTGTTTGTTTAGTAAGAGATTTATACAGACGAGGGGATGACGAGAGAGAAGAAAATCCCGCGTGTGTGTGCGTGAAATTGCCCAGTGACACGCATATCGTGCGCGTGAAAAAAGAAAGGATGGAAAAAGGGTAGGAGGGAGGCGAATGAAGGGAGGGAATTTTGTATTGATTTCTCGTCTACGTTACGGCGAACGTACGTCATTGCTCTGTGGCTGTCAAACTCTTCGTTATTCTCTTTTCCCTTAGGAAGGATCGTCGTAATTAATTGAAAGCTCGGTTCGGTTTTCTGCTTTGTTTTTTTTTTTTGTTCCAGTCGCGTAAAAGTGACTTCAAGATTGATTTGGTGTTTCCCGGACGCGCGAGCACAAGCGATTCGCACTCGCGTTATTTTTGCACGTACAACATATAAAAAATATTTATCTCGCGTATGTTTCGTCTTTTGTATTTTTGTAACGTGTATAAAAATGTCACAAAAAAAGTAAAAATTTAAACAAGTATTGATATTGTTTTTTCAGACCACGCTGGAGAGCGCAAGTTCTGTGTCTCTCTCTGACATTTCTGATCGTCAGTGTTCTATTTGTCACGCGCGCCTGGTCCGGCATATTAGCTTTAAAAGCGTCGAAAGCGGAAAGATATCTGGAGGAACAGATTGACAATGCCAAGATTGCTACGTGGCTACGTCGGGCTTGGATGTACGCCGAGTCGACGAAGGAGAATCAGAATGCGGACAGGAACACAAGCGTCAACACACCGGAACAACTCCACCGCAATTCAACCGGGTGAGAGAATTTTGTTTGTCAATAGCAACAAAACGCTAACGTCGGGTTAATTTTTATTTGCGACGTGTGTGTGTGTGCGTTGTTGTTCTCTCTCAAGTAATATACGTGCGCAATTAATTAATCAAGAAAGTCTCACATTTCACAGCCAGGTCATCGTTTGCTACTACACAATACCGTGGTACCTGAACACGCTCTGGGAGCTCAGTCCGTCGCACATTGACCCTCATCTTTGTACGCATATTATCGTGGGTTTTGCGAGCGTGGTGAACAGCACACTTGACATCAGTCCCAACGAGTGGGTTTACAAGCAAGTGGCTGCACTGAAGAATCGCGAACCTAAATTGAAGGTCATGATCAGCGCCGGCGGAGATAATGAGCTCCACGACGGATTTTCCGAAATGGTGAAAAATCACGCGAATAGAAAAAAGTACGTTTCTTCGCACATTTGCGTACTCGTTTTTTTTTTTTTTTAATTTTGCGCATTATTTGTTATCTGAAACTAACTGATATGTCGTTCACGTTTCTTGTGTGTGTGCGTAGATTTATAAGATCAGTATTAAATGTAACCAAAACGTTCGATCTGGACGGCTTCGACGTTGATTGGGAGTTTCCAGCGTGGTTGGGAGCTGACCGTCGTGAGAAGATATATTTCGTTCAACTGTTGCAAGAACTGCGAAAGGAATTCGATCGCAGCGGGCAACAATTGCTCTTGACGGTAGCGGTCGCGGCGCCGCAAGCCATCATAGATCAGAGTTACAGCGTTCCCGAAATGGCAGAGTATGTGTGTTAAAAAAGAGATTGAGGTACCTTATCACGACAACGTGGTGTAAAAATTGGTTTTTTGTGTTAACTCTCTTTCAGACACGTCGACTTTATAAATCTGATGTCGTACGATTATCATTTCTACGTTTGGTACTTCCCGGTGACAGATCTGAACGCTCCTCTTTTTCCTCGGTGTACAGAAACTGGCTATTTGTCTACATTAAATGTGAATTTCTCTGCTCATTATTGGATAGCGAAGGGAATGCCGCGGGATAAGATCGTAATCGGTATACCGGCCTACGGTCACTCGTACAAGCTGGACAATCCGTTGAATCACAATTTGCAAGCTCCAACCAATGGATTCGGTGAGCTCGGCATTAAAGGCTTCGTGTCTTATCCTACGGTTTGTCAATTTTTGAAATCCGGAGCTGTAAGTGTTTTCAATAAGGAGACTAAAGTGCCGTACGCGTACAAAGGCACCGAGTGGATATCTTACGACAACAAAGATAGTTTCTATTATAAGGTAATTCGCTTATAGTCTCACACATCGTGTTACAGCTAGAACGCACGTTGTTTGCGTAATTATTTATTACGGAAATAATAGATTGAATTCAAACAGTTTTTTTCTTTTTTGTGTTGTTTCAGTCTATGTGGATTCGTAACAACGGCTTCAAAGGAGCCATGATTCTGTCCTTAAATGTTGACGATTGGAACGGCACTTGCCACGGCACAAACGAAACTTTCCCCTTGATACGTACCGTTTGGAAAGTACTAGTTAACGAATCAAACAAGTAACATGTGTCAATAGACAGATGTCAATAACCAATTCTTTAAACTGCAATATCGTTGATATCCATCTAGCTGTTCGAAAATGCACTCTGAATTCCAACAAATGCATTCCATATTGCATTCCTATTTAATGTTAATCACCTTTATGCTCTACCTCAGTTGCTCAAAGAAAAAGTATTCTTTTGTACAAATAAGTTGCTTACAATATTCGAAGCACATATTATTCGTATGCTGTAATAGAGCATAGCACTTGTACCTGGTTAAGTCGAATCAAAAGTTATATATATATGCGCGTTGTATTATACATGTAATGTGTATAAGTATATATAATGTTTTCTACTTTGTTGTTATTTTCATGTTTTTCATGAGCAAGTAAAATAATGTCCGTGGTATATATATATATATATACACACACATAATGATAAAATTAGGTAACACATCGTACAGGGATGTATATTATAAAGATTGTTTAATTTTAAACAATGTGCCATGTATTCAAAATGTAAGCATAGTAAGATCCATTATATTGTCTGTTTCGCGAGAAATAAAAATTTCGAATTCGTGAATACTTTAACGTTGCTTTTATTACAAGTCACACAAAGAATTTGTGCATATATATAATCCTTTTATTGTATAAAGTACAACAAGAGAATTTCTGCTTTATCGAAAAAAAAAAACAAATAAAATTGCCAATTTTTATTTTTTTTCTTATGTAACAAAATTATATACACATCTTCCTTGTATATAAAATGCTTTTTGGTGACAATTTGTCATGTATATCAATTTCACACAGTTTATTTCTTAGTTCGGATAGTTCTGATAATGTTGAACGGAGAGTCGTTATTACTTTTGCGTTTTATTATACTGGTGATTTATAAAAACAACAAATCTTAAATCTTTAACAAAATTTACAAGGATAGAAAATAAAAAAAGGCTGTATAAACTGTCTCAACAACTTATCATTCTCATTGTGTGACACACTATAATAGCGTATTTTGACAAATTTATTGCATTTACATCGAAAAGTATGTTTTACCGATTTAATGAGCGAGTTGTTAAAAAGGCGTCGAAGAATCTACCATCAATACGATTTGCTGGTGTTACATTGGTATGATTTTTTTTTTTTTTTTTTTTTTTTATCACGCCATTATTTTATAAAGTCACATTTTCTGGAAAAAAAAAATTTAAATACAACTTCTTCACAAACCTGTAATTTGACCATAAATTTTCTTCATATCGTAATTATCTCGAAACGTGTACGTAACGGTATTTAATGTTCTTAACGGCAGCGCCTACACTGCCTGGAACTTTATCTCAGGATTTGCCACCAAAACCTCCCATTAAATTCCCAAGTCCACCCGCCGCACCTTGCTGTAACTGTTTCATTATATTTTGCAAACCTGACATGCCACCTAAAAATGAAAAGAATTTTTTTTCCATTAACAGAGTTACAAATGTTTGAAATATAAACGTAAAAAGTAAACTGGTGCGTTCTCTTATTTACCCATTTGATGTAACACACGTGGATCCATCATTTTAGCCATTTGATGATTTAACTTCGCCATTTGTGTAGGATTAACATTTTTCGCCATGTCACCGGCTTTGAACAGACCTTTGATACCTCCCATTTTCTTAACAACCGCCGCAAACTTCGTATATTGCATAATTAAATCCTTAACCTCTTTTTCCGTTACACCAGAACCTCTCGCCACTCTTACTATTCTTCCAGGTTGTTTGGTGAACAATTTAGCTCCGTCTCTACTGTCCAATTCTAAAATATATACAACACGAAGCAATCAAATGTTATTATCTTATAAAATTGTAAGTAGATTTTTAACAATGTACCAACCTGAGTCATTCATACTGTCCATAATAGTCATTAGTCGTTTTAATCGAGCCATCGATTCTTGCTCCGTTCCTTTCGACATGAAATCTGGACTAAATCCAGGAATCATACCCTAATCATATGAAATAAAATAATATTTTACATATGCAGAACTTGATTGTAAAATATTAACGTATAATATCCAACTTTTTTTTGTCATCAAATATATTTGCCATAAACTTTCTTTTCAACTAAATACTACATTATATTTACCATTAATTGTGAAAATGGTCCCATTTTCATAATATTCTGAAACTGTTCGTACATATCACGCAAAGTGAATTGACCGTGTTTGATTTTTTCAAGTAATTCTTCGTTATCATCCAGATTGAGTTCATTTACTTTATCTATAAGACCCTCTATGTCTCCCATACCTAACAATTTACTAATAAACGGCTTTGTTTTGAACGGTTCCAGATCATCTATATGTTCTCCCGTGCCAACAAATATTACGGGACTTTGTGTAGCTGCAACACTAGAAAAACAAAAATAATTAAAATGTTAGAGACATTACATTAGCGTTTAGACGATACGACGAAGAATTAAATGTTCAAAAAAAAAAAATTGAGACAGAGAAACGCTTACGCAGAAAGTGCTCCACCACCTCTGGCATGGCCATCCAATTTTGTGATTATAATAGAACCGACATTGACACGTTCTTTAAAAGCTTTAGCCTGTGCTTCACAAGCTTGACCTATTGTCGCATCCATTACGAAGATTATATTGTCTGGTTGCTACGACAAATAAATTTTTAGCATTAAAAATTGGATGTCTTTTTGTTTTTGCGTGTGTACAATCAAACAATGTGATATAATTTTACCACGGCATTGGCGACTTGCAACATCTCCTCAAATAGTGACTCTTCCTGTTTGTGTCTTCCACTCGTATCTACTATTATTATCTCATAACCTTCTTTTTTAAACATTTCAACACCGTCCTGCGCAATTGCTACAGGATCTACTTCTGTATAACTGAATTAAAAAAAATGGTGGTATCAGAGAATAATCAAAATTGAGAAATAAAAAAACAAACAATAATAATTGCAAAATTTCCACGCACAATTAACATTTTTTGTTTTTACAAGTCTTTTTCTCTTTAATATACACCTTACCTTCCATAAAATGGTATCCTAGCTTTTGTAGCATTTTGTTTTATCTGGTCGTACGCACCAGCGCGAAAAGTATCTGCGCACACTAAGCACGCTTTCCAGTTTTTTTTAAGGTAATGATACGCGAGTTTGGTACAAGTAGTTGTTTTACCAGAACCTTGTAAGCCGACAAACATAATCACATTAGAGCGACCTTTCACTGGTTGATACGCTTTAACACCAGGATCAATTAACTAGAAAGAAATCGTTACAGTTGTACAATCGTATATTTTAATAGCATTTGTAACAGTCTTATTCAAATATTATTTCTCACGAATGTGAAATATGTTTGTTAGAAAATACAGAGAACCAACCTTAACAAGTTCCTTGAAAACTGCACTCTGTATCATCCGCCTTTTATTAAGACCGCCCGCCATATCCTCAAAATCGATAACCTGACGTACATTTTCTCTTAATTGTTTTACTAATTTAATATTTACATCAGCTTCCAGTAACGCTGTGCAAATCTCTTTTAGCATAGAATTTAAAACCTGCAAATAAGAAATAGAAGAATAGAAGCAAGTGTTTGGTACAACAAAAGTATCAGAAGTGTCTCATGTGTGTATATAAAAGTAATATATAGTTAAAAAAAAAAAAAAAAAGAAAAAAAAAAGAAAAACATTCCTAATATGCGCACAGAAATATTTGTAAAATAAAATTAGTTTGCAAGAGATTTGTCTGCTCCATATTGTTGGATCATAAAACATTGAAAATTTTCGTCAAAAAACGAAAATACGAACCACGTGTAAACATAAGTTTGACGTTTACAAAGAGGTTATTGTAGATACGCGGAAATCGCGTTGGAAGCGGGCAAACCGCGCGATAGCAAAACGAAAAATCGCAAAATGACAAAATAAACGAAATAATTGACACTTCAATTTACTGTTGTTTACAAACGTCTTCGAGAATTAAATCGCGCACGTTGCGCGATATATGTCTCGCGGATAAACAAACCTACCTCCTCATTGATGACGGTCGCGTTGCTGAGCGACCGCAAGGCGGACGTAATTTTACGTCCGAGATCCGCCAAGACCATTTTCGGACGTTTTTTTCACAATCACGTCCCCGTGTAAAATAATTTTCCCGATCACAGGTCAGGAGAAAGAAGGTTAGAATATTAATGTATAAAATATGTCATGTTACTCCGACTTCTCGGCCAACACGGCATGACGACACATCCGGTCGTCGTACGCGGTTGATCACGTTGTAAAACGCGACGAGAGCGCGTTCGGCGACGTTGTTCGATCGGCAGCGAAACTCCACGGCAAGTAAATCCCACAACGTACACGTCTAGAACCTCGTCGAAACGAACTCGCACTCTCACTCGGATTGTTTATACATAGCAATGAGAAAGCTTGGAATAATAGCTACCATCCATATCGATTAGAGCGTGAACGTTACACTCAACGTCATCTATGGTCACTCGCGGTCTTTACGTTGTTTAAGTTAGACATTTCCGGAAGTACATGTGCACTCTCACCGGGAACTTCAGATTGGTTCTTTCTGGGGCAGGAAAGTAACCGACGAAAAACCGAAAAACGCGTAAGGCGTTTCTCGGAACCATCCGCGCGTGTGAACCTTTAAATTAATTCTTACGCAATACAAGACAAGTGAAATTGTAAATTCTGCGCAATTAGTTTTTTTTTTCTTTTTTTTCTTCGACCGGAACATTTGGAGCAATGGAGAAGGAGAAACGCATTGTATACAGCCGCAATGAGAGAATTTATTTATTATATTATTCTAAGTAGATCCCAGCAGAGAGAATCTTATTTAGAGGGTTCTAGGTTTTTTTTTTTTTAGTTTTTCTCACGCTTGTTCGTCCGGGAAAGACTTGGGATTCACAAATTTTTTTTCTTTTTTTTCTTTTTTTTTTTTTTATCGCAAAAAAACAAAACCAACTTGAGACATCAATTAATCGAAAAATCGGAGCTATGTTACACGCAAGCATCTTTGTTTTCTTCTCTTTACGAACCTTTTACATATATATAT